TCCAGATAGATGGTTTTCCTCTAGCAAAGCTGAAAAGGGCGAAACCCCCATCACAGATTTTGACAGAACGGAGCTAGCTTTACCGCTGTGTTTTCTGTGAAACTACCTGCCGGAGGCTGCTTGGGGCTCCTATCAGGCCTCTTTTACCTGACGCTGTCAAGTGTTTGCCAATTAAGATTAAGGTCTCCATCCAGAAAGGATTCCCTCCAGTAAATCCAAGCACAGGGACTGTCTTCGTGGCACTCCAGCCAAAAGAGCCTTTGCAAAGACACACAGCTCCCCTGTGAACTGGTGCTATTCTCTCCACTTCGCACACAGGGAAACTGAGGCATGGTCCAGCTGCTGCCTGACCACAGCAACACAGCTTATGAACCTTACTTTTGCACTTTAACCTTCCTATTTTCAGTCTCTGGCTTTCACGCCTCTGCCCACCCCGGAACGATCTCTGCTGATGCCCCTGATTAAGTGGTTATGAGCAAATGATAAACCAGCTATGCACTGCTTGCAGCTAAGTCAGCCCAGCCTCTCGCCTGGGTGATATGATTACTGTGTTCCCTATGAAAGCTATGGTGGGTCATTTTGCAGATGGGCAGGTAATGTGGCAGCCAAGGAGTATACCATGTATTTCTCAAGCCACCTCTGAAAAATCCTTTTTGGGATGTCACAAAGGCAACAGTGACAGCCAGTGCAATGAAGCAACATTTTTTCTAATTGCAAATGGCGTTTAGAGGTAAATCACACGTGCGCACAGGCTTTAAGCCCAATTCTAATCTCATTTTTACCAGCATAAATTGAGAGAGGCTCCCTTGAAAACAGTGGGATTATTTTGGTATAAAACCAGTGAGCTCAGAAACAGACCGCCTTCAACCAGAACCATTTCTGCGGACAAGCTTAAAACACAAAGTCCATGGAGGTGAGACTGCACTGGAGTTGGAAAATTTGACCCTTCGTTTTTGTCCACTTCTTTCTAGCATGTTTTTCTTTTTCAGAACAGTATTACTACAGATGTTTTCCCCTTTCCTATCTTTGCAACAGAATGATATTAATACAGATGTTTTCCCCCATCCTACAAGTAGAGGATACTTGTCGTATACATGTTCCAAAATGCTTAACGATACAAATCAAAATTTCAGGTACATTTTAAATGTAAGAGAGAACCAAAAATCACTCTATATCCTGGCTACGTTCTTTTCATCAGAATGCTTGTACCAAGATACAAAACAGTTGAAGACACTCCTACATCTTAGTTGAGAGAAATAAAAGTAATCCCCTGTATTCTAAGCAAAGTACAAAAAAAAAAAAATCTGGTGTAAATGGTGTTGAACTTGTGGTATTTATGACTTTGGCTCTAAATTGCCTTTCATATTTTCTTGGATCACAAAACTGTAGCCAGATTGGCTGGTTAAAATGTGAATAAATAGTGCATTGTCTTTGAAACAAAGTCTTGCTTATTAAAAAGAAGAGTTTACTTTTCTTACAGTTCCAGTTAATCGCACGAAGCACAGGGAGTGTGGCTTTTAAACAGAAGAATGTGCCTGGTAAGTATGTATAATATAATTTCATCATGTATGTCACAAATTATTCCAGAGCTGGGAACATTCCTAATGGACGTGTCTACACGTGCATTTATGCCAGCTTAAATTTACTGTGCAGTATTTTACTATGCAGTAAGCAGAAATAGGCCGGCGTGTACAAGTGCAGGTGTTAAAGCACATCAACACTGTGTGTGGACTGTATAGTAAGGCGTGTACACATGTGTTACTGAGCAGTAACTAATCAGGCACCAATTCAATACCTGCATGATGCACAAGTCAGTGTAAGTCGCTATATTTGCTGCACAGAATGAGCGTGAACGTGTAAGTGTGTGCCAGTACTGTGCAGTAATTTCAGTTACTGCACAGTAAATGCTCACATGTAGACACGCCAATGTCTCTAATTTTAGAGCAAAATAGCTGATCACAAGAAACTGTAACTAGATCCAAAGTTAGTATCCAATAGTATTGTTGTAAGAAATAACATGAAATACGTCCCACAGAACTGGCATACTGGTTGTTTTTTTTTTTAACGTGCATAACACCTTGGTGTAATTGTACACAAGAGCTTTTTTTTGGCTATTAAGAATACAGCCTCTGTTTTATGGTATCACAGCACTAAAGACAGCATTTATAAGCATAAAAATAATAGGTGCTAAGAAGCAAGCTCTAGCTTGCAAACAGCAGCAATTATCGATTTGCCAGTTGTGCAAGGCCTGATAAACAGCAGAGAGAGTAGCACAGTTACCGCAGAAGCACAAATTCATGGATGGGATAATTACTCACAGACCTCTGAGTTCTCATTAAGTGGAGAGACTCGAGCTAATTGGAAGCTGACATTTCAAAGCATGAAGCAAGCAGCATTCTCCAGGCTTTTTTACTTTCTTAAGAGGAACAGCTGCAAGCACAATATTTGCAAAGCGGAAATTCAAGAAACCCCATCTACAGTGAAGGAGAATAACAATCTCAACTGATTTCAGTAGTTTGCGACCTGCCAACGGACGGCCAGGCTGGCTAGAGCGACCCTCCGCTTCGAGCAGTCCCACATTCCATGCATTTACAGTGCTCCCTGCTCCATGTTAATGCAACAGGATTGCCTTTTATATCAATATGTCTATGCATGCCTTTCTAGCCTGCTGCAAAATGGAAGCATCCAGCATATAACAAGCCTATATCCTAATAGCAAAGGCTAGCTAACAATACTGGCACGCTGTGTTTGGAAACAGCGTTCTCTGGCACCCCTGCAAACTCTGCATAGGGTCCCACGTTTTATCAACAGGCGCTAGAAGTTTGCTTTTGCATTAATCTAACACAACATTTATTTCACGAGAGCAAGGATGGAGGAACTTGAGTAAACTTGGCCATGATGTCCCAGTAGTTTGGATGGGTTTTACACCCACTCAGGCCTGAATTTGATCCTTGAGAACAATAGTGCCTTCCCAGAAGGAAGTGATACAAGACTGGCTGCGAGAACTATCTACACGGAAGCTGACCTGTCTCCATCGGAGAGTTTTATGGAGTTGGCTGCGGTTTTTAGTTAGTCCAATGCACCTTCGTTCCCCTTTCTCCTCCCACGTTTCATTTTGCAAAGGCATGACACAGGTCTAATCCAGCCATGTCTTAGGCAAGTAGGTACCTTAATGTATGCAAGTAGCCCCACTGACATGAATGAAGTCCTCCCACGCATAAAGCAACATGTGCATAAGCCTCTGTGTGATCAGGCTCCAATTTTGAAACATCAACATTTACTTTGTCTGCCTGTTTGTTTGTCTTAATTAAAACCCACTCCATGACTCTGGCCAGCGGCTCCTATTATGTGTGCGAGGACTTTGGCATGTTAAAGTGTGAAAGTCAGCTTGGAGTAAAACACAAAAATCTCCTTCGAGCTTGAAACATGAAATTCCTTGCAAATATGCAGAACGAGGAGGAAGGCATTAATGTGGTAACTGCAATGTATAGGCAGCTATCCTTTCCCATGGATCGCTGATGTTTTTGTGCCGAATATAGTCTTTGCTCTGTGTAAAAGCCAATAAAATACATTGAGTACGCCTATAAATGACATATATAAAAAGAAAAACTAGAGGGTTGAAAGAACCTCAGGGGGAAAACCTTCCCTCCTCATTTCTTCCAGTAACTCTTACAAGCCGAGCCTCAACTTTTAAAAACAGCTTACAATTAGCAGATGGAATTTAACGAAATAAAGCAGAACTGAAGTCATAATGTAGCGACTTCTCACGGCTTTACAAGCCGGCTGCGGGGATTATCAGAAGTCAGTGTCTACATCAAACCACTGCCAGGAGCCCAAGCTTAAAAACCAAGAAAGCTGCACTGTTCAGCCATACCATACATAACCTTTTCAAACTGAATCGCTCTACAGAACGCCACTCGGGCAGATGCCAGCATCGCGTTATGACCTCTCAAGCAAAACAGCCTCCTACTTTGGAAAAGAATATTAACATTTCCAAATCCCGTCTCCGTCCCAACCTCTCCGACAGATGTCTGGCCTGAATAATGTACTGTTTGGCAAAAAGGTCTGCAGCAGAGTTGCTTCGTATTCACAAGGAATCGGACAAATGTGGAATGAAACGGTTTCAGCCCAGCTGAAGAGACGGTGGACGGGGCAGGTCGGCTTGCGGCGACGGCCCGCGTCACAGGCTGCGCCTGACAGTAACCTGCTTTGAACGCTGTCAACTGGACAGGCTGGTTAGCACCTGGGCTGACTGCTTATTTCTTCCTTTACACTGAAAATTAGAGCGTGTTTCTCCCATGTTTTCATTCTCACGCCCTTCAGAGGATTTATCCCCTGCCTGCCATCCAGACGGCACCCGAGTTCACCGTCGGGAACAGATTGGGGCCCTGCGTGTACCAAAATAGCCCCTGGACTGTACTGTATCTGATACTCTGACGGGTGCCAAGACCCTGCCCTAGCGATCCTCTGCATACAGCAAGGAACGAGCCGGCGGGCTGTTCCCCCTCTTCCAGCTGAAGCAGCGTTTCCAGGTCTGGCCTGGAGCTGCGTGCGGGAGGAAGCGATGCATTCAGAGCTCGGGGGGCAACTTCTGCTCTCTTCCCCAATTCTAGGCTCTCTGGCACCCATCTCGCATGACCGAAGATAATCCCTGGGCAGGGGATTCTCCTTCCTTCCCGCAGGCCACTCGGCCTCACAAAACCCGGAGCCAGGTTTGGACTTCCAGCCCCCTCGATGGGTTGAATAGGGTGGGGGGGTTGGGGAGGGCTGATCTGGGCCCCTCTCTTTTCTCTATCCTCTGCCAACCTCTGATGCCCCCTAAACATCTGCCTTCCTCCTCCCCTGGGTCTTTGCTTCCTAAAACGCAAGCTCCTAACTCTCTTGCGCCCCGTGTCTGGGCAAGTCCCGGAGCCCAGGGGGAGATGCCCACCCCGTCTAGGCAGGGCAGGCGCCCTGGGGATGCGGTGGCGAGGTGCCAGGACGCTGAGAACAGCTCTTACCACTCGGCCTTCCTTAGCCTCCTTCCTGTGCCCATGGCCCAGCTGGTCGGTGCCCGGTCCAGCCAGCCCCGGAGACAGGGAGTAGAAGGGAGGGCTGGGGCTGGGGGGCAGCCCCGAGTCGGGACTGTCCAGCAAGCCGTCACGGCTCTTGTCCTTGAGGCTGTCATCCATGCCCTGCAGGTGCAGGTGCCCCACCATGTCTGGGGGGCGGCGAGGGCAGTGGCACCCCGCCTCCTCTTCGGTGGCCGAGCCCCCGCAGCCTGTGGGGGAAGCAGAGAGCAGAGGGGACGTCAGTGGGGGGCGAGGGCGCAGGCCCCAGCCCGCAGCGGCCCCCGGCCCAGCCATTTACGTCGGGTGCAGCGGGGCGCACTGGGTGCCGCTGACACGGCTGCTGCCTGGAGCCTCTCCAGCACCCTGCAGCAGCCTGGGTGCACTCCAAGCGCCGGCAGTGCGGCGACTGCTGCTGCTTGCCAGCTCCTCCTCTCGCCTCCTTGCTTCCCCTCCGCTTTATTCGGGGCCGCCGGGTGGGTGGAGAGCCCAGCAGCTCCCTCCCTCCCTCCTTCCCTCCCTTCCCCCCGACCCCAGCCCCCGAGCTGTTCCCTGGCTGTAAATTTGCAGCAGCTTCCCAGCCAGGGAATGTGTTTTTCTCCAGGCAGCTTCTCTCCCTCCCTCCCTCCTTCCCCTGCCTGCCTGCGACTCAGCTCACCGGGCCTTTCTCTCTAGGGGCCGGCGGACGATGGCCTGGGTCCGCCTTGCCCGGTCCTGGTCCCCATACTCGGAAAGATGTGGGGCTGGAAGGGACCTCCAGAGGTGTCGTCTAGTCCAACCCCCTGCCAGCCCCCTCCAAACCATCCTATCCAGTCCATCGCTATAAGACAACCTGCCACAACAAGACAGCCCTCCCACCCGAAGGTGCCACGGGGGAAGCAGGGGAACCACAGCAGCCCATGCTCTGCTCCTATGAAGCGTTGTTAAGGTGCGCTTGAGAGATCCCGTGTAGAGGACCGTGCTCCCCACTACAGAGAAAGGCCCCTAAATCAGGGCGTCCTAGACTTTAAATCCTGGAGGTTGCAAGAGAGGAACGGTGGGAAAAAAACCCAGTTCGCTCTTGCTTTCAGCATCCACTCGTTGCCACCGTGTGACACAGGAGGCTGGGCAAGATGGACCTCTGGTCTGACCCAGTACATGGCAATTCTTCCGTTCTTACGCCCTGACTCCTCTCGCGCCGTGGCAGAGAGCGGGTGCTGAAAGGGAGACGGGACTGGGTCGGACCAGGGTTTTCCCGCTGTTCCTCTCTCGTTTGCAGCCTGCAGGGTGTGGGAGAGACAGGGGCTCCCCAAGTATCTGTCCCCCTTCTCATTCATCCACCCTGGGTAGTTCCCCTTCCTCAGATCTGCCCTTTCCCAAAGAGCAGGTCGGGTCCTGTGGGAAAGGCCGGTCGAGGATAGGGTGCAGAATACGACCGCGGGCAACCCACAGCAAGGGTGCACAAAAGGCCGTGGGAGGGTTTGTTTTCCTGCGGAGGATCATCTTAGCTCCTGATCCTATGGGGAACATGCCAGGGGGCACAAGAGGCAAACAGAGCAGAAAGAGAGAAGCCACGTAGCATGAACTCGCTCAGCCTGGCCTGGTAGCCAGGGACCTGTCTTGCTGCCTCCTGGAGGGGTTTGCATAATGTGTTTTTAATATGCTGTGGCTTTGCATTATTCCTAGCCGAGGGCCAAAACTGCCATCCTTATTCTTACTGAGTCACGCCTCGGGGCCAGATTTTTTTTGCTGTATTTTGGTGCCTAATCTTGGAAAGCAACAGGGCTAGGTACCGAGGTGCTTTTGAAAATCCTGCCAGGCACCTCTTGGCATTTTCAGACACCTTTAAGCACTCAGCCCTCCTGAGCGAGGAGTGACGTTAGTGGAGTGAAAACACTGCTCAGTGTGAGTCCGGGGAGTCAGAGTTTGGCCCCCCCCAAGCAGCAATTACCCTGCAAAGATCTCCTTTCCCTAAGGGAGCTGGTCACTTTGTGGGGTGTGAAAGGAACTTGGCTGTCAGTAAAACCGTATGCAATTAGGTTTATTCAAGTTCAGGTCAAAGGAAAGGCCACAGATGCCCAAAGCCATCCTTGGCTGCAATGAAGTGCCTTACACAGATCAACTGAAGTGATTTGTATGCACTGAGCCGGGCAGAAAAATGTAGCTGGTTTATAAATGTCAAATAGCCAGCAAGCAGCCCACACAATAACCTCAGTGCATTATTACCTCTGACCCGTTCATCAAACCCAGCTAATGAGCTGGTAGTGCAGACTGATTTAAAGCCTTTGACTATAAGAGCCTTCATGTCTCCCGCAGAATACAGCTGATCTGCAAATGTCAAAGGGGGACTGAAGGTCACAATTCCCATAAATTAGGCCCCGGCTTTCCACCTAGAGAGTCCTAGGATCCACCAGCAAGTTAACATTGTGAACTTAGGACTATCCAGCTGTTTATCCGGGGTGGGGGGCATGCTATACACCCCTTCTTGAACTGGTGAGACTGTACCTGTCAGAGCAGGCAGGGTCCTGTGCAAAGCTGTCTTCCTGCGTGGGTTGATGCTGGCTGATGGCATTATCCGTCTGTGTCTGGCACCAATCAGACCATTAAGGGAGTCTGGTCTCCTGCTGTGCGATTGTGCCTGCTGCACTCCCTTTTTCACCTGGAGGTTCATTATTTTAATCGGGGCATTCTTTGTCCCGCTGATATTTAGGAAGGATCTTGAGCGGCACTCCCAAGCAGCCTGAGACAACCGCTCCTTCGCTGTACTTGACTTTGCAGCTGCTGCACATCTGCGCCTCCTGTTCCTCAAGCAAGGCCTTTTGGGAATCAAACTGCGGACGTGTTTCTCCTTCTGTGCTTGGCTCTAGGGCTGGCCGGAAGATGCAGGCAGTGGGGTACAGAAGGGCCAAAAGTCATGAACAGGCAGCTGTGGGATGCTCACTGGCAACCTCCAGCCCTTGCAGAACTCAGTGGCGGTACCTAGGTGGTTTCAGACATCCTGCAGGAAGGGGGTGGGCTAGGAGGCAAAAAAGGCCAGGCTTGACCTCGGGTCCTGAAATGTAGCAGAGCTTGTAGGGTCAGCATAGATGGCATGTAGGGGCTTGGAGGGGGCTATGAACAAAGGGGAAAGGAAGACGAGCATCCTCCATCATCTCACCTTGGAGATAAAGAAGGCAGACACCCAGCGTGGAAAATTTCTGCCCTAATGGTTTATTTTTGGCACAGTTGTTAGCAGCAGATAACTGGATTGTATCATGGAAAGTGTTGAGCAATCGCAATTGTAGGTGGTGCCACCTGCCTCACCTCGAGCAACCCATTCAAACCGTGTGTGTATTTGTACATGATGTGCCAGCATGCAAATGCAATGCTTATTCATTATTCGACTGACTGTACAGACAGGGGGCCCACCGGGTTAAGCTCTGTGTATCTGAATAGGAGAGGGTTCTCCCTGACCTCCAAAATACGATACAATGCAAACTGCTCCTTACTCAGGCAAATTCCCACCGACGTCAAGTCCTCGGATCTTTATTCGGTATTCATACCAGGCACGTCTACGCGTGTCCACAACTGCACATTTGGTACTGCACAGTCATTTTGTACTTGCTCGAGCAAGTACCAAATGACTGCACGGTACCGGCGGGTACCGTGCAGTCGCAGCAGCACACGGGTGGTTTCTGGCCACTGCGCAGTAGCAGCGGTGTCACGGATAGTGCCCGCTGATCATTACAGCAATGTGGCATCTCGCGTAGCCGTGCCCACTGACTCATCAAGGGTTCCTGGGTCTGCTTCAGAGATGCACATGTAAGTGGATAGATGTAACCAGACCTAAACATACAGAGAGAGATTTTACAGCACCAGCCATTATAATGATGAAGTACAGCTAGAGACAAATTGTCATGTGCACCTAAGGAAGTGTTCGCTGACTCCAGGATTTCTGTTTTGCTTGAGGTAGTTGTCACTTAGGAACAATACGTGTCTGATTTTTGGCTTGCAAAGCGGGAAGGAGTAAGGGGAATGAGGCCCTGATTTGTATGGTTGAACCCAGAAAAAGGAAAAGTGCGCAGGGAAGTTTCCCAAAGCAGCCGAGCACAGATGAGCAGGTGCATGGAGCAGCCTAGGGAGACGCACTGCGGCCTGCCAGCCTTCTCTCCCACCGGTGCCTCAAAGGGAGAGGCCAAAATGAGCAGGGAACTAGAGGACAAAATAACAGTAATAACACACAGCCCCACGCCAGCAAACTCCCAGAAAATCCACATTTGTCAAACTGGGCAGAACTGTAATTTCAGCCTCTGTTAGAGATGTACGTTGAGCAGTGTTTGCTAAGCTAGTCATTGTAAAATATCCACTCCCTGCCCCTCCTGTTGCTTTCCTTCACTGGCATGGTTCACAGAGAAGTGCTGAAGACCTGCGTTTCACTGGGAGCTGCTGGGACGCAGTACCCCTCAAAATCAGCCCCTTCGTGTGATAGCCAACTGGCCCAGGCTCTGAAAGGTGCCCTCAAGCACGCACTTTTCAAATGCATCTTATGTGTTCACCTAAGGGTTGGTGCAACTGGTCGTAGCTTCAGTCAAGTCAGTGGAGCACATTGCACCTGAGGGTCTGGTCAGCACCCTGGGAAGGTTTTCTGCACAGCCTGATTGCCTCCCCAGCTGTGAGCATCAAGCAGCCAATTTGAAACAGCTGTGATGAGAGGGCTGCAGCCCAGGCAGAGGGGTGGCAGGTAGAGATGGAGGCAGACAACCAAGGTGAGGAAGAGAGAATCTGCCAAGCAGCAAAGGTAGGAAGCTGTGAGATAGGAAGGCGCAGCTCTCAGCTGCACCGGGCTCCCCATCTCCAGTAGCAGGGGAAATGATGGCCCTGAAATGGCTAGTGAGTCCCACGTACGGCTGTGCGTGGGTCTTTCCACAATCCCTTAAAAACCAAGGTTTGCCCTGTCTTCCACAGACAGGAAAGACACTGGGGAGCACTTGGCAAGAGTCAGGACTCCTGTGTCTGTGGGCAACGTGTCTCTCTCGGCAGTGAAGCCCCAACCCTGATCCGTGCTATTTGTGGCGACCTAGCTACGACACTTGTAAACCTCAGTGGATTCAGAGCGCGCATGGGGCCGCTCGAATGTAATCCTGAGAAATGGCTTTCCAAGACTGGTGGAGCTGCTGGGGAGGAAGAGTGTTTTCTGGCTGCCAGGCTGGGCTAATGAATGAAGGGAAGCGCCTGAGCAAGGCAACCAGCTCCAGCATGGGCAGCAGCTGGCGAATAGCACTGGGAGGCAACAAAGACCAGCGCTTGGTACCGAGCTGTCATGCCTTGGCAGGGAAGTTTGGGTTCATGGCAAGTACCTAGTTGTTTGCCTGATTGCAACTTTAGAACTAAGCTACATTTTTTAGGAATGAGAGGTGGCTGACGCCTCATCTAATGTTTCTGTAGCCTCCCCCCCATATCTCGTGCAGAGAGGGGGGAATGCCTGCCTTGGGGAGGGCTGTGGGCTGGACTCTCATCTCAGCCCCGTGTGCGACAAGCTGTTTGTTAGGCTAGCGTCCGCCCTCCGTTATGCCTGCAGAACTGGAGGAGCTAGAAGCTGGAGGCAAAAGGCATAGCCGGTGTATCTGAGTGTTACTCTGCAGTTACACCAGAAGCTGTTTCTTGGAGTAAAACACTGAGGATCCATGTGAGATCTGAAGAGTGTGTGTTGAAGCCTTTGCCATCCCTTTGCTAGGTTGGCGCCCCATACCCTCTTATACCACATCACCTTAGCACCTGCAATGCAAAGCTCTTCCGCTGATTCTCCTCTGTGAAGCTTTACAATGAGCTGACTTGAAGTTGCTCCACAAGAGGTTTGTAAAACGTGTGGGATGGAAACACAGCTGGATGAGCCATGCCAAGGAGCCATATGTAGGCATCTCTCATCTTGGACAAGATGCCAAGGCTCAGATCATCCAGCACTGCCTAAGGAATTTGGATATTCAACTCTCATTAAAAAGCTATGGAAATTGGGCATCTGTATTCTCTGTAGGCAGCTTTGAAAATCTCTGTTTAAGGGCCTGGCAATCAGGACTCGTAACAGAGAGGATATCTTTTATTAGATCAACACGATTCCTGCAAAACAAATTCTTTCATTGCAAGCTTTCGGGTACAAACACCCTTCATCAGGCATTGGAGAAAAGATTGTAAAAGTTCTCCTGGGTAGAAATTAAAATCAGAAGTCAATAGATGGAAAACCCCTCTGGACAGTCTGTTCATAGCTGCTTTGAAGCCTCTCATCTCCTGTGAGGATCTGCGATGATACAATTTTTTTCCATCTATTGACTCCTCTGTGAAATCCTATGAAATATGAACTTTCATTTCTACCCAGGAGAACTCTTACAAACTTTTCTCCAATGCCTGATGAAGGGTGTTTGTGCCCGAAAGCTTGCCATTAAAGATTTTTTTTTTTTTTTTCCCCAAAAATCTTGTTGGTCTAATAAAAGATCTCATCTCTACTATGAGTCCTGATTGCCTTTTCCTCTAGACCAATATGGCTACAACCTGGATACCTGGCTTTTAAAAGGCTAGGGGTGGGACTGCTTGGGCACATAGGAGAGCAAATGCATGCTGGTGCCTGTTGAATCAGCACGTGAAAGATAGCTTGTATGATGTAAGTACGTGTCGATGGCACAGTGGGAGGAGGCTGAAGGTGTCCTGCCATACTCCAGAAGGCACAAGTGCAAAGCTGCTCCCTGTTGTAAAGAGGGACCTGGTCATTTGGGGTGCACAGCTTACTGTGATGTTATCACCAGCTTGTTGCAATGGTAGTCTTTAGCCATGCTGGCCTGATGGGCCGTTATAGTCAGACAGGCCTTTGGCACCTTCAAATTTGACATGTAGGTGGCCAGTCGATTAGCCTCTTTGCCTGCCTGCCCCACTTTCTTCCTTTTGCGCTGCATGTAAAAGCTGGACACAGCAAAGTATGTGGTCCGTAACAGGTGACTGCCTGAGCAAACCCTTATTTGTGAGTGATCCCCATGACTATCACAGAGTTGCATGTGCATATTTGCATGCCTTGCCTTTCTGCAAAACCAGCTCCTGAGCACTTAGATCCTGTCTCATTTTTCTACCTCTTTTTATTGTATGGAGAGCTGGTGGCCCCACTTCCATGGCAGAAAGTCGATATCACGTGCAAAGTTTCCTTCCACCGCTGCCAGGCTTGAAAGATAAATAGTTAGGAAAGAAAAAGAACTGATACAAACACCTCGGGACTCTTTTTGAAACAGATTGGGTGGCAAAATGTTAAGAATGTCAGGAATTTCCATTATGGTTCACCATTAAACCTGATCCTTTGGGAACACCCACGGCATAGCTAGTCCCAATAAAAACGACTTAAGCCATGCTTGGATGTAGAGTTCTCCATTTCCCTTTGGAAATGGGGAGCCTTTCTCTCTGGCTCTTTTGATGTGCTTCTGTGCATTGCATGTGAAGGTGCTGTAGGTCTGAGCTACTGGCCGGGTTGGGGCGCAGAGTGCAAACAAAGAGCTTTGGATGGGAAGAGGATCGCAGGGTGTTTTGGGACTGATTCTGCGTTGCTGAGCATCATGTGGCTTTACAGACCTGGTGCAAGGTGTGTGTGAACTGCTCCTGAATGGCAATAGTGGCTCTTTAAGACTCATTCTGCACTAGTGCAAATGGTAGGATTAAAAGGGACACCTGGGGGGTCCCTTTGGGGCCAGATGCAGGAATTGCTGTTCCTAGACGCTTGCATAACTTGCAGACTGATGGAGAGCCAGGCCTGTAGTGCCTTGCCTGGAAGGCACGTAGCAATAAAGCGTTCTTTTGCCGGGCAAAGCTCGATTCAAAAGCAGGAATGCTTTTTGATGGGGAACAAAAATGTCCTCCTTTCATGAAGAGGCTTGTTGATGTGCTTTCAGGTAGCCCCATAAAAGGAAACACTTTCAGCAGCCATCCTATGACTGCCCAGGGCTACCGTATGGACTGTCTTTCCCTTGGGCATCTGAAAGTGCAAGCATCCACTTGGACCGAGGCAACGCTGTTTTGCTGTAGTTTGCAAAGTTTCTGGCCGAAAGTGGGAATGAAGGCAATGCGGCCTGTTATTTGGGTCAGTAGAACCCAATGCAGGAGATCACTAAGAAACACCCTCTTCCAGCGACATGGCTTTAACATGCCGTAGAATAAAGATGCCGAAAGACAACGCGCAAGGCACTGTTCTTTTAGAAAACGCCGTTTCTCTTTAAATAACCTCCTTAACATTCAAAAGGGGGAGACTGCAATCAAATGTCAGAAAAAAAGGCACAGTCGGCACAGTTCATTTTGCTGCCAAGAAGATGAGGATGAGGGGAGGGGAAAAGGGAAAAACTAAGAGGGATTTCTGAGTAAGCGCCTGATGCAAATCCCAACAAAATCCAGGGACAGACATCTCTTGACTTGTATCTGGCTCTAAAGGCAGAATCTATGATTGCCAACTGAGCGCAATCAGTATTTACTGCAGACCCGTATACTGTTACATAGTTGAGTCAAAATATGCCTTGCGAAGTCTCTGGGCCAGTGCAGGACCTGCCAGTTACCCACTAAAATTTCCTCCGCTTGTCTGTCAGAACTGCCGCGCTGTAATCTTGGAGAACAATCTCCAGCAAAACCATTCATAAATCATGAGCTGCAAAATGCCGATAAGAGCTTAAATTTCAGGCTTGCAAGGCCATCTTTTTAACCATGACAGTCGAGAGGGAGATGATGAATTCTTTTACATGGAAAAGTTTTTCTTGGAAAAATCAGCCCCTTTTTCGCTTGCCTGTGAGTACAGGCATGTGTTTTAGATTTCTGCACTGCTGTCCTGCCCATTCGCAGGGAGTTTTATGCAACCTGAAGGCAGTTGCTCTCGCACCAAGCCAGGGCACTGTGGGAGCCATGGCGGGATTTGAGTAACAGCATCGAACCAGTCCAGAAGGCAAAGAAAAACTCCTGCAGTTCTGCCTGAGTGATGGGCAGCATAGGAGAAGGAGCTGTTTTGTTCTAGGGGGAAAAGACTCCAGTGGTTAGGACAGTATTTTAGAGCTTGGGAGAGCTGGGTACATTTTCGGTTCTGCCACAGATTTCCCGCGTGACCTTGGCTGAGATCCCCCTGCCTCCATTCTCCCTCCCGCGTCCCTTCCTCCTGCGCGGGGTGAGGATAAAAGCGGTGTGAGGATCATCGGCATTTGGATACTCGGGCAATAGGAGGCACCCACGTGCCTTAGAGTCTCTAGTCCTCAATGGCTGGAAAGACCTGCCTGCTGGGTGAAGTCCTCCATTATAGGCACGGCCCAGACCAGGGCTGCATCTGCATCTGCATGTCATCCCTTTCCCAATGAGCCTCTGACCTGGAGAACTTATGCATCTGATCCAAAGCCCCTGGGAGTCTGCACAAAGACTCCAATTAGCTGTAAATCAGACCCCATTTTTTAAAAGCAAACTTATTCCAGCTTGCACCCAGTTTGGGGCCTGTCTGCTAAGGCAGCCAGGAAGCACTCAAGAGTTACGGGAGGTAGATATTGGCTTGCCAGCTTGCCTTACATACTCCACCAAACAGGTAGCAAATAAAAACCAACCAATAAGGGCACTTGCTACCAGTTGGTGATGGAGTTGAACTTAGTTCTTGCTTTGCCAAATGCCCAGTCACATGGTTACTTTACTTTCCCCTCCACTCTGACTCTTCCTTTTTTGGAGTTTTTTGCCTAGTCTGAAATGGGCACTGAATTAAGAGGCCGTTTCTATTGCTGCTTATTGCTCTTCATCCAGAAAGATGTGCAAAAGCACTTTCTCAGGTTCCTTGTAAAAGGTAATGGTCACTGCCACAGACCTCATGTGGTTCTGATCCATTCTCAGGGCAGCAGGAGGAATTCGGGGACCATTAACGAGACCAGAGGTGCCAAGTTGTTGGGATGAGGAGCACCCGCCACACAGCACCCTTGAACGAGTCTACGTGTTTCCTAAAAACTAGATGCATTTGGAATGGGTGTTGAATTTTTATCTGAAATGGATTCAGTGCCAACCTGCCCCAGGCCATACTTTCCTTTTTATTACCGAAGACTTCAATGTAGGCATGAGAAACATCCTGTCATAAAAGAAGCGTTTGATTAAACTGGAACCGAATGAGTCCACTTACAATAAAAACTTGAAAAGATTAAGTAACTTGCTCAATTAAGTTATCTAACTAGGGGTGAGGAGGATCAAGGAGCCTTTATTTTTTTTGAAATTGTTCATTTTGTCTTGTAGCATTACCTTTTATTATGTAAATGAACCACTGGTTAGATGCATGCAGTTATAGGGGAAACCCATCTCCTAAAAATGCCATGATTAAATAATGCAGAGTAGCATGCATGTTCTTGGAAGTCGAGTCTTAAAGGAGAAGTGATGAATTCAGGAGGGCAATGCTGATCGGATGAAAGCACTTTGAGCTAGTACCAGCCATCTTTCTCCTTCCTCTCTGTCCAGAAGGAGCATGGTTTATCCTGGATGGCTGCATACAAGGCTGTTTACACTGCCTGATTCATGGCCATATTCTGAGTTTCCTACTTGTGTTTTTTTTAGCTTACTTCGTTTTGAGACAAGCAAGGGGGACATATCGCAAAGGGGAAGGAAGTGCCTGTTCTAGGACTGTTCAAAGAAAAACAAGCGATGCAAGGAGCACGCCAACAACTACCTTGACAACATGAAATGTCTGTCATACGGCAAATCATTTCTGCAATGGTGAATCGTCTCCAAATCGTCACCTTCTTAAAATATCTGAAAAATACAATGGCTGGAAGAATAAACCTAGTAAACTAAAAAGAAGCCAAAGTGGATTTAGTTTTTCTTTCTCAAGGCATGATCGTGGGTGCCTCTTCATTGAAAGCATCGATGAAGAACTTCAAGGTTGACAATCTTGAACTTGACAAATCACCGGGTCTTAAAGACAATAAGGTATATTCCTAGCTAGCTCGTTTAGGCAATATTTCTCTTATCTTTGATTTATGACCTATTTTGTCTTGTGATGCCTGACGGTAAATTTTTTTTTTTTCCAGGTGCCTTACAGTTACCAACTTTGAGCTACTGGACAAAAGCTTGAATGAACGACCAAACGTCTTGGATTGCCTGGGTCCGGTCTCGCACTGTGGAACAGCAAGAAGAGACGGCGATGCATGGACTAAAACCAGGTACAACAAGGAGAAAAGGATTTGTGTACTTTCATGGGTAAACTAGTACTTGAAAGCTATCTTCTTCTTAACTAGAGAGAATCTCAATATCCTAGTGAAAGGTGTGTCTTCATCAGCTCAGGCTCTACAACTTGGTGTCCTGGTTTTGTGAGGGTCGGTCCGCACGGGCAGAACATAACTAGCTCGGTTCTTCCAGATTGCTGAATGTTGCCCAGAGGTGGAGTTCCCATTCCTCGTCGTTTAACTCGATTCATCGTTTCTCAGCAGTTTGGTCAGACTTGCCTGTTCTGCGCTGCATCCATTTGGCCACAACTGCCCAGTGATTGGTTTCATGTCATTGGGAGCCCTGACGATTTGTTCTGTTCCCCCCAAAAAGCAAAGGAAGGGAGAAAAATTAAAACTAGTACCAGGATACTCTTAAAGCCCTCTGCCTGTGGAGCAGGGACAGTTGTAGCAGCTAGCCCAGCCAGAGAGCATGTCTAGGGGTAAATTCATGGCTATTATCCTCTAAGACCTGTTGGCTGTTTGCTGAGGGCTGCCAACAAAGTCCTAACTGTTGTAGGTTGTGAGATGTGGCCGTCTCTCCACCGGGACTGAGAAAGTGCTGGATAGCATGGGCTTGAATTGATGTGAAAACGAAAAGCTCCATGTCTCATTTGCAGCCCTCTTGGGCATCCAATCCTCAACCCACACACCACCCCCGCTTGCCCTAATATTTCTTTAATAGAAAAATAACAAGAAACGTAATGACTTGCCTTGCAAAATTTAAGCTTGAACAACATTTTCAACATGGTTTCAAGTAGGCCCTTGTTAAAGCAGATAAGTTAATCTATCTTTTATGGCAGGCCACAGTAGGTTTTCACCTTTAAATTCCCATTATACAGTAACTAATGGCTCTTACAATGGAAATGACTAGAAAAACAAGGAATGCGAGCAGTTAGTGGGTGTATATTTCCAGTGAAAACAACTCTCATAAAGACACTGTCAGTACAACAGATGATTGATCATCGGGATTTAGCACTCTCCTTTTCCTTCCAAGGTGCCCAACTGTGTGGTATTAATGGCAATGCAGTGACTTGACTGAAAGGCTGAGGGCATTGGCCGTGGAAGAAACTGTGATGCTACCAAAGCAGAAGTTTGGGGAAACTTTTGTGACTATCCTGAGAGAGGGGCCTGGACCAGCATCCCTGTGACCGTCCCCCTTTGGGACTGAACTGGCAGGACTCTGCACTGTGGATGCTTGGCATGGTGCTAGACCTGACCTAGAATGTAGTCAGATGGATGGAAAGGCTCTCACTGACTTTACAGAGCAGTGGCTCAGGCTCTGAAACTGCTCCTTGGACCCAATGGAGCACCCACTGAGTTGGGTTAGGGGCACAGGCCCAGAAAGGGACAGAGTTATTGAGTCCATTCCCCCAAAGTAACATGAAGGTGGGAGGTGGGGAGAGAGTGAGCCACCAAATCTGCCCCTCAGGCTTAGTAATATGAGTGGATGGTACATAGCTAGCTACTTTTTTTTTTTTGCTTGTTAGGCTAAGTAAATGGGCCCGATTTGATCTCGGTGTAAAGTAAGAGCAACTCAGAATCACTGAAGCCAGTGGATTTGACTGGTGTAAAGCGAGCAAGAAATCATGCCCAGACTGGTAGGTTTCTCTCCACCTCTCTGGGGATCAGGATGAACAACTTGTGCTCCAACACCTGGTTGAAACTTCTCCACCAAGCTCCAGCTAAAGCGTTTCACTGGGCAGAGGCTGGAAAAGTTGGCTTAAGTTAACATAGCAATATTTCTCTGTTGGACTGGTGGTGCTGGGTGGCAGCCTGGCTGCTCTCACAGCATGCCTCACCCCACCACAAGAAGGACCACACCGTCCATGGGACAGCCCTGGGATGACAGCATAGGTAGCATGGAAGAGTCAAAGTGCTGGAATAAATGCTGAGGATATACAAGTCACTACAGACTGAGTTAAGCCAGAGCTAAGCTTCCCCAGAGCTTGTGGGGAGATGGTTTGAGCCATTGAGGACCTACTGAAGCCCGCTTGTCCCTGGCGAGGGCCTGTGGGATAATCCCCGCGCATGTGGTTTATTCTAGTTGTGTCCCACCTCTTCGCTTCTCCGGCTGGGCACTATGGCAGAGGGCATGTGTGCATCCTCAGTGCTGGATCCGGGGAGAGTACTGGATTTGCTGGGCCATTCTGGTGGCAGTGCTGGGGGTTTCTTCCATAGCTGTGCATCCAGGGGGCGGAAGGGAAGGGAGGGCAGCTGCGTTTAATGCTCCTGAGACAGATGTGAGACAGATTGGTCTTGCACAAGCAAACCCCAGGAGGAGAAGCCTTGGAGTGTGCCCTGGAACCTGTTAGGGGAAGGACAAATGTTGGAAACGTATTCCTTCGCCAGTTTTTTTTTTTTTGTTGGGGGGCTCCGTGTCTGCTGGAGGTGGTCAAACAATGATGAAAAGCAATGCAAAATAGAGCAAGCTGGGCAAAGCCCCTCCAGGCAATATTTTTACTGCGCAAAGATCTGGGGGTGACATCGAAGCGCAGGGCTCAAAGCTCCGGCAAGCCCTGCCTGGGCTAGCTGGTTTGGGGCAGGCCCTCTGGAAAGGTGTGTCGCTTGTTGTCTCACCAACGTGACATGCTGTAAAAATGGCAGGCCGGGTCTGATTGACAGGTGAGGGACGTGTGACCCTAAATTACGATGTTTTCCTTTTCCCTGCAAAATGAATGGTGCCTCACACAGCCGCCGAGATACAGCTGTTGGTGGCGGGGGTGCCGCGTTCGACCAGCTCCTTTTGAAACCGGGGCTGGAATAGTGAGGGATCAGCCGAGCGCTGGCCTCACAAAGGGGGCACTGTCTGCGGGATCTTTGCATAAGCCCTGCAGAACCAAGGCAGTAGGGAGTTTGCACAGCTGCTGCTGGAAGCAAACATGTACTTTTAGCTGACCTGCGCTGATGGCTTTGGGCATTAAATCTGACGCTTTCCAGATGTACGGCCCTCTCTTGCCACAGTCCACAAACTTCGGGTCCCCAGGTAAAAACCGGCACTGTAAATACCACATTGTGCTGTGTATTCCAGTTCACACATTGCACTGTAAGACCTGACGGTGCGCTCTTTGTGCTGAACTGGGAATTTATAAGCAGGGTTTCAAAGTACGTTTCATCCAGAATTAGCTATTGCACCAGTCGCCTTCACCCCTCACTAAGACTGGGGCTCCGTCCTTGTAAGACTGGGGCTAGTTACAGAGAGTTTTCTTTTTCTTTCTGTTTTTTCTAAGCCAGAATTAAGCCGTGAGACCTAAACTCCTAGAACGAAGCAGTGAGACTGGCACCTGGGTTAATGCAGATAGAAGACCCCCCCCGCCCCCTTGATTTAGCCAGGCTTTGGGTTGGATCCATTGGGCACGTGCAGGGAGATGAATTATTTCCTCTGAAATAATTAGCAGGGATGTCTTTTGTGAACAGCAGGCCTCAAGACAGAGGCATTGACCGTGGATGTGGATCAGAGCTTTCCAACACTTGTGGAGTGCTGGGAGGGGAGGGGAGGGCACTAACATACTGGCCAGGAGCTGTACTTTGTCTCTAGGGAATTGCCAATCCCATGATTTGCGTGGCCACGCCAGGGTGTGCACTTGTCCCCTTTCAGGCCTTTGCATCTTGCTGAGCTCCAGTCCAAACCGAGACTGCTCGTCTCAGCCGGGCTGTGTATTTTTAATAATATTTCCCTCCCCCCACGCAGATCCTGGCAGGGTTATTTGCCACTTGTGCACCGCCCTGACAATGCGGCGTGTTGTGTCAGCTCTTGGGGCTGCAGGGAAAGCTCGGGAGGGACGCGTCTTCCTGATTTATGAAGGAGGCAGGACTGGCAGCAACAGAAAGTCAAATATTGTGCTGATCCCGGAGCCAGCCCAGCGCAGACGGCTGCAGCACGCAGTCTTTGGGCTGCCCTGCCAGTTCTCTGGAGCGTGACCTGGTTGGAGGGACCACCTGTGTTGGGAGCAAGAGGTGATTGCCTCCCTGCTCGGTCAGCTAGCAGCTCTCCTTTCCTGCTACCGGCTGATGGAGAGGGCGCGGGGAGCAGTAACCGTGCCAGCGTGGTCTTGGGGCCTGTTTCTGACCTTGCTCTCAGCAGGGAGGGAGGAGGGCAGTGCTGTAAATGAGATCAGGATTGATCCCCGAGACCTTGTAGTGGGCGAGGACCTCCGCTAGTAATGTGGATTCTGCCCACACCTGAAACTCAGGTGCCCGACCAGGACCTGAACATGGATCGCATCCTTGAAACAACCTGGTTACCCCACCTGCCCAGGCACATAACTGGCTTGCATATGCAGGCTCCTGCTATGGAGTCGTACTATTCTCAGGCCTTCAGGAAAGTGAGTTTTCGGCCCGCTTTCCCCAAGAGCGACCTGCCTTCTGACTGGGAGCTCTCTAACATGAGCTCTGCTTGCTTGGGATATTATCCTGGCAGAAGGCCCTTGAGACAGGATACATGTTTTGCCCTACCCTGCTATGCCCTCCCCAGCTACCAAGGATTTAGTGTCTTCTGCCTGCCCTTCTTTCATTTGCCCCTTCCCTTCTCCCCCTTTCTCAGCTGTGCTATAAGACTGGGTGTGATGGATAGTCGGGGGGAGCCTGTCTTGCTTCTGTTTGATCAGGCAGAGGGAAATTTTGAATTTCCATCTCATGGGAAATGCTGACGCCACAAACTTTGTCGTCTACCCAGACTGGGGCAAGCCAACTCAAGTTAGGCCCAAGGCCATTGTGACCGTTGGGGCACCTTCAATGCTGTGCATTATTGGTGATTCTTTGGGCAAAGTGACTTTGTGGTGCCCATTGCCTCTCCCAGGATGGATGGCCGTTGGCTCATGGGGAACTCATCCACCCTTTGACAGGTCTTGTTTTTAGTCCTGCTGGGTGTCCACACGCCCCCCACACCCAGGCTAGCCCAGGTTGGGGCACTGGTTTAGTTGCCGACAGCCTGACCATGGAACAGGCTGTACTAGTTT